GCCTCGCCTAGAGGAAGCGGCCGGCGTTGGCGCAGCCCCGCGCTTCGCGGGGCGGCCGAGGCTGCGGGAGCTACGCTCGCTCGGCTCAGCGCACCCGCTGCGTCCCTGCAGCCTGCCCCGGGCCGGAGGGCAGCGACGCATCCCGGCGCTCTCCTTGCCCCGAGCCAGCTGCCTGCCTTCGGTCTAGCCTACGCTGCAGTGGCGACAAGCCCTCGCTACAGCTTGTGATGCTAGGGGTCGCCAATACCGGTCTGCACAGGCAGACCCACTACGTAATCCCACTACGTGGGCGCGTTAAAGGCAATCACACCCAATTCAACAGCACAACGGCTGCTTCTAGGCAGCCAGTAGCAACTTTTCTCCAAACTGGTTAAGCAGTAATTGGAGAATAAGCACGTTTTAACTTAAGCAACAAACGTCTGGTAAAAGCGTCAGTCCAACCTTTCTGAAGGAGGCCCTCAGCGCAGGGAAGCTTCACCGCCTACAGAGTTCTCACCCTGTGCATCAGCCATGCTTCTCAGCAACTGCATTGCTATCATACAGGATTTTTAAGTGCTCTCCTCTCCCCAGCCCCTTGTCCCCCCTTTTCCAGCTGTTTGTGGGGAAAAATGCACAATTCGGGTATTCCTGGTACACTTCTGAAGCATGTTTTCACATAAAAATGACAGTGGTGGTCCTGAGCAGAGGTCCTGCTAAGCCCATGGTTCTGCTTCCCAAACAAGGGTTGAACTTAAGCCAGAGCCTATTGTAAGGCAAAAGGCCTTTCTCTAGAGATGCCATCTCATCTTTTTGACCTCATTTATACTTTTGAGGTCTACCACGTGCAATGGAGAAGGATCCTGGTGTAGTCAAAACAAGCACTTCTCAGGACCTAATCCTGCCGCTTCAAATCATTAGTCCTGTACAAGATACTTAGCAACACTCCATTCAAATTTGCTAAACTATTCCTGCTTTCCCCTGCCTGGGCATTATTTGAACAGAGCTGCTCAGCTAGATAATTGAGCAGTACTGGGAAAAACGGCACTACCACCTCTAACAGAATTAAGTCCAGGAAATCAGACAGAGACAAGAGCCACTGCCCCTTAGGGAAAGCAGCTTGGTCCTAAGCGTTTTCTTCCATGCCAAGGGAGCACAGCAAAGTTAAACCTCAAAGTCAGCCCTCCCAAGGCTCCTTCCAAACTATACTACTCCATGATCTACCGCACAAACGACCCAACTCAGAAGACGCACATCACCTTTGCAGAGTTTCTGTAAGCATTTATAAACAGAGGCCATGTTTTTTTTTTTTTAAATAAAAGTTTAATTCCTTCATCAAGGTCTTAAGTTTAACACACATGCTGCCGAAAATCCTCACACCGCTGCTCTGACGTCCTGGCTCTCGGGGCATTGGCAGTTCAGCAGCAAGGGCTCCAATGTAGGAGGCAGGAATTGGACTCTTAGTAGAGCTCAGTGCAGGATGCAAAGCAAAGAAGCAAAACAGACACACACACACACTTTCCAGACAAACACCAGTTCTTATACAAAAGAAAAACCCTACACTGTAATAGGAGTGTTAAAGTTGCCACAGGACAGGAGTTTTAGGAAGGGAGAAGGGAGAAGTCTTCATTAAAGGCACAGCTACAGTAGTACTTCCCTAGATCTTAACCAAGTTTTTCCAGTGAGTTCCGCTTGCACCCCAGCCCCTAGCCTCTCACAGCCGTGCTGGTTATGCTAGCAAGCAATTGCAAGTTCCTTCTCTACCCTTTTTCCCTTCCCTCATATCAAAAACAAATCAAAGCGGAGTGCTTGTAAGAACCAGACTGCATAAAACAGCTTGGTCTATAACCTCCAAAAGAGTCCAGGAGAGACTTAACAGTTTACCTTAAGATTGTCTGGTACAGTTACCGTGCATTCAAGTTTTGGATGATGCTTATTCTACATCCAGGAGCCTCAGCCAGCTCTAGTTTTGGTATTTTTCTTTCAGGCACTTTGCTGCCTGTCAGATTGGCGTTAGATCTGCACTTTTCCCAGTACTACATATCACAAGCCTCTTCAACCCATTGCCACAAGCTCTTCTCATTATTTGCTGCATCAGACCCACTGCAGAGGCTTCTTCAGGCTCTGTAGCCCGGCAACCTCTCATCCTCCCTAGCTTTCAAGATCCCTTGCAAAGTTGTTATTGGAATGAGCAACACATTCAAGGCAAGGCATAGAGTGTCCAGGACAAGCAATCAGAATGCGCCAGTAGCTTACGGGCTAACAGGACTGCAGGCAGCCTTCAGAGGCAAAGACAGCTGGCCACAAAGTTGTTGCACATTGGGTCACCCCACGTCAGTCTACTGAGCAGGAACTTGCAACAACTGAGGGTCAAGAAGGCTCCCGTTTACTAATGTACTGGTAAAAAAAAAGGATCAAGGTACATGTGCACAGCAAATCAAGGTGCAACTACAGTACATGACAGCAGTCCTCTAGTCACTAGCAAGGCTCACAATAACTGCCAAGGCAAGGCATTTGTTTTAGCTTATGCTAGGAACTAGAGCACACAACCACCAGGAGCCCTCTATGAACAAGCCAGGAAGAGTGCTTGTCCAGGACACACCTTCACCACTAAGTGAATGCAGCAAAGCAGTACTGAACATGCTACGTTCTCACCTTAGTTTTGCTGTGTAGCATGCTAAAGGGCATTGCATTTCTTCAATCATTCAGATTAATTCAAGTTTGTAAGCTACACTGACCTCCCTTCATGGGAAGAAGTTGTAGCAGAACCACCTCCCATCCCGAGGTGGGCCCTAGGGCTAAGCTTGGCCAAGATGCAAGCCTTCCCCATCCCTCTTCGAGGGCTTCTGTCAAGTATAGAGTGGTAAGACAGTCAGCAGTCTCTCGGGCTCTTGCTGTAGATCCAGACCAACATGTCCTAGGGAGCTCTACTTCCCAAACAATTCGGGGTGCGCATGCCAGATCATCTAACCCTGCCCACAGACAAACCCTCTCCCTCCCCCACCCCCCTCCAAAAATAGTTGTGGCAAATTAGCCATGTGTCAGTCCTGCTCTCCACAGATCTGCAGTGTTGAGTCAATACTACTGACGAGCCCCAACGCACAAGGTTGCTGGTGGAGTTGGAGTGTTACAGAGATGAGCCTCCCCCCAACCTCCCAGTGCTGGGATCAGAGTCAGTAAGCCTGACTTATGCAGGAGGAGCTGTGGAGAACTGCACTGGAACAAGCAGAGTCTTCTACTGAACTTTATAACAAGCTGAACAACTTTTGGTTTTAAAAAAGCCATACAAGCAGCAGCTGGCATCTGTTGTTATAAAGGGACATGGCTGAATAGGTAGGAGACAGACTCCCCATTATGAGTCCTCCTGATGGCCTCTGCAAGGATCATTGAGATGTCAATCACCTGGAGGGAAAAGAAAAGATACATCAGCATCACCTAGAAGAAACATCAAGCCTGGGAGAACAGCTGTTAAGTGGTGAAGAACTTCAAGGAGCAAATCCAGCACCCTAGATTTGTAAGATGCTACGTGCAGACAAATGAGTTCTAGGCCAGCGATTTCATTCCACATCATTCTGAAGATAGTCTCAGTTCTGCAAGAAACGTTTCACCGCTGATCTTTGTCAGGATCACAATCTACTTTCACTCTGCTTTCCTGATGCTCCCTAAAGACAGTACGTTCCCTACCCTAGAACTATCTTGCTCGCTTTGTGTGGGTTACGTAGAAGTCAGGGAATCTACATCAAGATCAGACTGCTTCCCTTAACTCATGAGGCTTTACTCTCACTGCTACTACAGTGAGGAAAAAAAGATTAAGTTACTGTGCTACACACAGTTCAGTTTTCAGCTACTGTGGTGACCAGCTCCACCTGCTGGAATAATCCAGTTAACTGGAAGAAAAATTAAAGTCTCAATGAAACTCTAGCTTTGAACCCCAGCAGCTGAAGCATTTACATTTAATGCAGTCTCAGTAAGAATCACCATGTTCACTGTCTGTGAATTAAGTTAATTGATATTCACATTTAACATTTCCTTCTGTGTAGTTTGCCTCCTGAGAGGAAGGAAAAACTTAAGGGATGCAAAAATGGAGCATGGGGCTCATAAAGAATCCCTTAGTTCAGTATTTCCCAACACATCAGAAGTTAGTGCAAGAGCGAGGTACAAGTGAGAACCTGAAAAACTTCACTGCAATCCTTAGCTACAACTATTTACATCCTAGCTACCACTTTAACTTTTCCCCTACGTTAACTGCAGCGTGGAGTTTGTGAACAGCTCAAGCAGATGTCTTCTAGACATGCTGACTTGCAGGAACATTATGCAGAAGTTAGTGTTGAAAAACGCAACCCAGTAGCCATGTGCAATCGGCCTATGCTTTGCCTCCAAAAGCAGCTTAAAATCTACTCGGCTCCAATCACCTGAGATTCCTTTTCACCAGAACCCCACTGCTGTGGAACCTGCTACACCTACAGCAAAGCACCAGCTGAGCCTTAGCAGTGCCAGTCACTTATCAGACTAGGTGGTGAGTAGGACTGTTTCCTTCCAGAACTTCTCTAAATGCATGTGTCCTGTACATCTATGTGCTGCAAAGCTAGTGTTTAAGGTTGTCCTGACTGTGCATATGCTCTAGCAGTACCTGAAGCTTCTGAATGAGCTATTAGGCCTGAATTATCAGGTAAAGCTACAACTTCCACATCTGTGTTAACAGGGGAAATCTTCAAGTTCTGCCTAGAGTTCTACAGGTAATTTTTCCTTCCAGGAAAGTTAGCTTCAGCATGGGAAACAACACGCCTGCCTACTCTCCCTAAACAGAAAAATCAACATAAAGAGTGAGGGTCAAGTGACCAGTTTTGAGCTTTGATATGGATGGCAAAGTGTACTTTTTTAAATCTTGGCAGCTATCTGAACACTGCATTGTGGAGCTATGCCACCTGCTCTTACTCAAACCAGCACGTCATGTAAGTGAAAAGAAACTATGCTCCCTTTTCAGGTCATTTTCATTGGTATTATGACCAGATATTAAATGTTCACCTTTCCCAAACCAGGCCTTCTTTGTTTCACAAAAGGTCTTCAGAAGGAAGGGACATGTGAATGAAGAACTCTGGTTAAAGGGTTAGGCGCAGGCTTGGGAGAAAGTACAAGACATCCAATGTTTAAAGTAGTCACATCCTTTCAAATCATGTTTCTTGGCATCTGCTGTTATGGATTCAGTAGCATCTCCAGTCTTCCAGGAGGAACAGGAAAGGCAAGAGTCAGATTTCTAGAACAGAAAGCAGAAATCCTTCCAGACAGCTTTTTCTGGCCTTTGTTTTGCAGGAAGATGATCTACTGTGGTGGTATCACACTGAGGGGATAGTTTCACCACTGAAGTTGGCATCACTACTGGCTCGAGAAGTTCCTACCCATTTCTGCTTCAGTGCTACACATCAGCATGTGACCCCTCCAAAGGGTACCGACAGAACTGCTTGCTTACATCATGGCCCCATTAGATCAGTGATCTGATCTAGGTTAAGACAAGCCCTGCAAAAAAGATTAAATGGACTGTTTGAGATGATCTTGGTTAGGAGCTCCATTTTATCAGCATAACAGGTCTGTTATCCCACTGCAATAAAGGAATTCCAGTCAGCACTGCCACTGAATCCAGTATCAATGAAACTGTATGCCTACTAATATTGCAGTAAGCACTGGACAGTATATTTCAGGTTTTCCCAGCAACAGGGGGACAGGCACGTCCTGGAAGCTGTCCCTTAGGAGCTGAGAAAAAGAGAAAAAGAGGCGCTCACCTGGATTTTTGGACAATGCTTCATCTTGTCCTCCTGGGGTATTGTGTTTGTGACAACAACTGCTTCAAAACAGGCATTGTTGATTCGAGAAATCGCTGGCCCAGAAAAGATCCCATGAGTTAAGATAGCATAAACTTTGGTGGCTCCAGCTGACACGAGCCTGTGAGGGAGAAAAAGGAGACAGGTGAGAAATATTCTCAGCAAGTATTAAAGCGACATGGGTGTGGGGCAAGGGGTAAACAGGAAAGGAGAGAATACCATATGCTTAAGGTACAGACTACCTTTGATCACCCCTTCCAGATCGTTACTGACTTGAGGGAAGGAAACAAGCTAACAAGTACCATACAATCCACTACCAGCAAGCTACACCTTGGAAGAACATCGTTTTCAGTCCTGGGGACTTTGGACTAGATCACACAAATCCGCTTTCAGTGCTTTTGCCAACACAAGGCGGCAGATACTTAATATCCAATGCTGCATATGCTGCCTTCTCTGGTGTAGAAGGCTGGCTGATTCAGAGCTTGAAAAGCTCACTTCTAATAGAAATTCAGATATACGATCTTAAGCTATGCTGGACCAGACAACATCTAATCTTACCTAAGGGTAAGTTAGTGATGGCCTAGTGGAAGACATCTGAAGGACAGCTGAATCTCACTATGACCTATCACTAAATGTTAGCAAATAAGCGTCACTAAGCCTACCCATCAACAATATGGTATCCAACTCACATACCTTCAACACAAACTTTTCAAAGGAGAAAACCTATGTTCTTCTAGTTATTTCTACTGGAAGGACGTTTAACTAGGCTTTTTGCTTTGTGTGACATGAAAGAGAATATCAAGAGACTGTAGGTTACTTTGTGAAACTCCACATGCAAACATTTGATTAATTCATTACATAGCATTCGCTAACGTTAAGACTCTGATTTAGGAAAAAGTCAGCCCTACTCACTTGTCTGCTGCGTGACAGATGGTACCACATGTGTCTGCCATATCATCGACCAGAATGGCCACTCTGTCCTTCACATCACCCACCAGTACCATGCGATCCACTTCATTGGCCTTCTTGCGCTCCTTGTGAATGAGGGCAAAGTCTACATTCAACCGATCTGCAATGGAGGTCACTCTGAAGAGAGAACAGTTTCCAAACCACACTTAACTCCACATAGCAGCTTTTGTCAAAGGACAATCTCTTCCAAAACGATAAGCACAAACTGAGACTGGAACAAGAGGAGCTGTCACCACTTCTGTTAACTGCTCCCAAGCAATTCACAGAAGACACTTTGCCATCTTAGTGCCATTTCTCTGCAAGCAGTTACCGTGAAACCTCCGACCTACTCTCTTGATGATGGCCACTACATTAAGACGAAAGTCTTTCATCCTAACTGGTACAAATTAATTGAATTTAAAGCTCAAAACAAACCTAACTAGCACGCTCAGCAAACCTGAAGTGATCAGAATGCTTGGGAAGTTGTCATCTTTGTAACAAGACAAGGGGAAAGGCTAAAGTTATGTTATGACATGGAGGAGTTAGTCCAGAAGTACGAGCAGTACAGCCACGCTAGGCTTCCTGAATTTTTCATTACTAAAGTCAGACTACCAAGAGGAGCAAGAATAAGGAGCAAGTAAAAAGTGGCAACTGATTATATAATTCTAAATCCAAAACAATGACACAGAACTATTCTTTCCCATTATGCAACTGGTTACTGGAAATGCCATTTCACTATTACTCCATGGAACATTTTAGTACTTTCCCTGTTACTGCCATTCAGCTAAGAACGGAACCAATTTAGTTCTACTGCAGGACAGTCACCTGTGGTTCTGCACAGGCGTGTCATCTATATCACATAAGGGAATTAGCTTCCCCTGTGACTTCAAGCATATTTCCTCATCTCATAGCTGCTTTTAGATTTTTGAATCCATATGTGAAAGGAGTGGTTTCCAGGAGAAAGCACCAGCTAGAAATTTTGTTCATTATAGCCATGATAAGCTCTGCAGGCTAAGAACAGAACTGCAAAGAGAAGAGGCAAAGAATAAGGAGGTCAGAAAGTTTCTGTCTTTGCTCAATTTTACCACCTCATCTATTACAACAGTAGATTTCTAAGCAGGATTCAACGACAAGCGGTTTGCCTTTAAAGTCTTTGGCAATACAGTCCTTAGGCTCTAGCACAGGTCAGTACATCCCTCCTCCTTCAGCACTAATGTTAGTGATCTACACTGTCTACTTAAGAGTACAGAAAACCCTACTTATCCCAGATCACCACGCAGTGAAGATAGCCCAAGTTCGCGTTTCAACAAGCGACAGGAGCCACTAAAGAGAGGGCACCCTATGCAATCTAAAGTTGGGGCCTAGTATACCCAACATGATATAATTCAGTGCACCTCGATACTCAGGTAAGTTTGGAGTTGAATTCATCTACGTAGAAGTCAGTGCAGAACCATTACACTTTCAACCTTTCCTTCAGGTTTGTCCTTTTCTCTCTTTGGGACAGCAGCCTCCTACAGCTCACTGCCACAGCAGGGGCCAGTTTTCCTATCCAGCAGATCAAGCTTCCAGTTCTTTGGTCACGCTGAAGGTTTGAGGACTACAAAGTAGATGACTAGAGATTCTGACAGGGATTTACTTGCACTCATAAGCATCAAAGTGTCATGGGGCCAGAGGCATGTAAATGCTGGCACAAGGACAGCAGCAACCCCTGGACATGTAGTCCTGCAAGTCCACTCACATTTACTTTGGGTAGAGTGACCAAGGAATGTTACCGGAGGGACCCAGACTTGATATAATGATACCCATGAATGGTAGAGTTCAAAAGCATTAACACTTAGAAGGAAAATACACATGCCCCTAAACAATTCTGTACTAGAGATCAGCAGACTCCTGGCCTCAGTAGATCAGACTCGTCATTCCAGTAGTCTTAAGCAGGTTTTTTAGGCCCGCTCAGCTATTTAGAAAAAGTACGTAGTTCTGCAGCATCTTCACGCGATATTGTACCAGCTAAAAATCACTGCATTTCAGTTCAAGGGGCTTTTAAAAAGGTCTTTTTAGGAATCAGATTATAGCTGGCTGAGTTGGCGTTCCAGATGTTGCATAATGCAACACGCTACAGAAGTAGCTGAACACGCAAAAGGTCGTGTCTGGTACATGGATCGCAATGAAGCTACCGTAAGATGAACAGGGACCTGCAGCAGTAGTATTGCTTGGCCGTTGTAACAGTGAGCATAAATCACTCCAAAGCATGTCAGTCAGGTCAGCATGCACCAACACTTTGGTATGACAGAGTGTCTCGGATTAAAGAATACACCTGCTTCCCTTAGCTTATCACTTGTAGCCATTGTACAGAGGCTCCAAGAGCGAGCCTAGTTTTGCCTCATGGACACCTGGAAGCCGTGTGAATTGCCCACAAGCTGGTGTGTTTATCTCCAGAAAAGGGGGAGTGCACTTCCCATGTCCCTGTCAGACAAGACAGAAAGACGCTTACGTATGCCGCTGCTAAAAAGGGAGCTATCTATCTTCCTTGCTCATGGGGAAGAGTAAGAGTAGCAGCATGCTTAAGTCATAGCAAGAGATTCAGGTTAAGAGTAATAAAGCCAGAAAATGCCTTGTTATAAACTGAGTTTACTACAAACAGCTTAGATAAAAATGATCACAAACCAGCAGGGCTAATCTTGTTTTGGCACAGGGATACGAACCGCATGATGCCCTGCCTCACCAACCTGAATAACTCCACTTCTCCAAAAATAGCTTTAGTCCAAAGGATGTAGAGGTTGCTCAATCCTACCTATGCAGTTGTGATTCCAGAAGCCATTTAAGCCCCAGAGACCTTCTGTACATTCTCTAGGGATAATGTTTGACAATTCTTATCTATCTGCCATAGATTGTCTTACAGAAGGCAGGTTGGCAGAGAGGGAACATGCATCTTAATAGCATCACAAATACAGTGACACTGTGTTAACAATTCAAGCAGATGAAGGACCATTCCGCCTGCTGTCTGACAGCTTACCTCTTGGCTCCACCAGCATCTGGTGAAACAATGGTACAGTTCTTCCACTCAGCAATATTCTCCTTGATCCACTTCAGTACGGCAGGCTCAGCATACAAGTTATCAACAGGGATATCAAAAAAACCCTGCAAGGAGGAAAACATTAGCAGATCAACGTAGCTGAAGGTCACGTTCCAAAACGCTGGAAAAAGCCTTCTAGTTAGGCATACAGTCACTGTTTTTCCACAACGTTTTCAGATTTCCTTTTTGTTTTCCTTAGTGGAACAGCAGTAACCTTTGGAATACACAGAACAGGAATATAAAAAGTCTTCAGAGGTGTAAAGTGTTATTTATGTCAAACTAGTTTCATCTGACACCTTCACAACATAAAACTCGTTCTACCCTAACAGGTGCAGAAAACACCCAATGCACTTGTTTCCAGAGCAGCCAGCTGCCTGTTTACAAAAGTCAATCTGATCTTTAATGCTCATTACCTACACTGTTTGCACCTACAGCAAGCTGGAAACCTACGAAAAAGGCTTCAGTAATATTTGCTTTTAACCTAATGCAGCAGCTGGTTCCACAACTTCATACCGACCCAGCAGACTCCTGCAGGTAAACCTCAAAGGTCACTAAAAGCCAGAAGTTAATCCTGAACAAGGAGTAAGGGACAGGGGGCAGGTGGTACAGAGGAGTCCTTGGCAAAAACAGTCATGCCTTACATTCAAGGGGTAACAGATCTCTAACATCATCCTTTCCGGGCTCATGTAACCCAGCACCTATAAGAAGCTGGCAGGAGCCAGCTAGATGCTGGAGATGATCAACACAAAACCAAATATTCAACTGAAATCTCACCATTGCTGCTGTTGAAAGCTCAACCCTATGGCACACATCATGACCTCAAGAATACCTTAAGGAAGGTATTCTTCCCACCCCCTTGGGCTCTGCTCCTCTGCTTCATGATCCTTCTGCGAATTTTCTCAGCTGTGCCCCCAGAGTTCTTCCATTTGAGACAGTACTTCTGGACAAATTACACTGGAACAAATTATACTGAAGTGTGAATGACTGCATTTTCAACTGTTACCATGACAGCAAGTCCGTCTACTTCACTCAGACAGTAGATGTCCAACTACTCTAGATTCAAAGCATTTACAGCAGTACAACAGATAAACCCACCTCTGCCAATCCTCTCAGTTTCACTGAGCTGGTTTCCCGGTCTGAGAGCTTGCTCAGGATGGAGCTAGACAAGACTAACAACTCAACAGCTTGCTGCCCCTCCTCTCTGGGGAGGTACACACTCTTGCTGCTTCTCTTACGCAGGCCTAGTGAACATTTCAGTTTCTCAGTGAGACTGTTCAGTTCACTAATCCAGCAAAAAGCTGTGAATAATTTTCTGCCAGTGTAACTAGCTCAGTCAGCTGGGAGCTTGGGAGAGGACCAAAGCCAACTGAAGGGCCATGTTGGAAGCGAATGGACCCCAGCAGGATTGCTCGTCTTGTCAGCAGCAAGCTATCAGATCACTGCTCTGGACAACTGCACCCGCACAAGCAGCTGTACTAGGACATCTCGGGGAGGCGCTAACCTGGGGGCAGCAGTGTTGGGAGCCACTGTGCCAAACCAACAAGAAGCCATTGCCTCAGTGCACTGCTCACATCCTGACAGTTCAGTATCACAAGATTCTGCTCAGTGTTTAAGAACAGTCTAAACTAGCAGATTATTTAAGAACAGTCTACACTATCAAACCATTCTGTCTCAAATTCCTCAAAGGACGAGTTAAGAACACACAGCGTCACTGCAAGGTGATAAAGCTGCATGAAACATTTACTAAGCCAATATTCATTTAAGCAGTCATCACTTAGCCCAGTCAAGAACAGCTATAATTTTATTTACAGAAGAACCCATTATCCATCCCCCCCCCATCCTCTTCTGATGATCCTACAAGTCCTTTCCAGTCCTGTGCTCCCAAGTCCCAACTGTTGCTGTGTCCAATAAAAAGCTGATCACTGGCAAGCCTCCAAGGCAGTAAACAGGCTCAGATGTGAGCAGATGAGTACTCGCTCTCCCGATTTCAGCTCCTACCTGAATCTGAGAGGCATGCAGGTCCATGGTGATTATGTGATCTGCACCTGCCACAGACAGCATGTTCGCAACCAGCTTGGCAGAGATCGGGGCTCGACTCTAGTACAAGAAAAAACAGTGTTTAAGACAAGTTCAACTCCCTCATCAAGATGCCAGCCTTCTGCTTCTAGGCAATGATTCACAGGCAGTTACTAAAAGGAGCGCTCATTAGCATTGCATCTTTTCATCAATGGGTGATTACAGCTTGGTATATTTTCAAGAACTAGATTTTAATGAAAAGACGATTTTCCAGTCCAATGCCCTGAGGTTTAAGAAGTTAAAGTCAGTCCTATCATCTCTTCTTCTACATATTCAGCTTCATCTAATCCCTAACCAGCAGCCAGGACTTTTGAGACATGCATTCATCTTCCCAACAGAAACCCTTACTGAAATCCTTACCTTGTCCTTTTTGTCCTGACGAGCATAGGGAAAGCAGGGTATGACAGCTGTCACTCTGCTGGCTGAGGCAATCTTACAGGCATTTATCATGATAAGGAGCTCCATCAGATTGTCATTGATTTCACCACAGCCACTCTGCACAATGTAGACATCTTCCCCACGTACGCTCTCACCTATTTCCACACTGGGAACAGATGGAGAAAGGAGAGTTGTGTCCAAACACAAATTAAACACAGCCATTACATATGCCTGCAGACCAACCAAGGCTGCAACTCATGGGGCTGCAGTCCCAAGGCTCTGTGGGTGACAAGGCAATATAATCACGAGTGTTGAGCAGGAACACTGCTGCCTATTTGCTCAGTGACTATTTTTCATTGCTCACTGATCAGAGTTAATGGTTCAGTCAGCAAGGCTAAAAGCACTCAACCTGTACTTTCAATCTCAACACAATCTGAGCGTGCACGCATCCTAGAAGAGTCCTTGTTTGCCCCACATCAGAAATTTATGCCCACCTCAGTTAAAAGCAGTGTATAAAAGAAGCAAGCATGATGGCCAGACAGCAGAGAAAGCTGAGCCAAACTTCTAACAGAAGCTACACTGCAGCAGATTATTAAATTTAGAATCATAACAGCTATCGACAGCCTTGGACAGAGAGGCCCTCCAGCATTTTATTTTGGAAAGGCTTTGGGGGTTAATTTCCTTCTGGATGTAATGCACACTAATCCCTGCTGATGAAGGGACTGTGAATACAAGCCAAAGGTCCTGTTTGCCAGCAGCAAACTGCCAGCAAGCTTCAGTGCATGTGCTGAGGCACCTGCACCAAAAGCAGAGTTGACAAGAAAGCAGTAGTCTAAGGTTTGAGGCTTCATAGAGATGAGCGCTGCAAAAGGCCTTTTGTAGGAAAAAATTAACTACTCCTACTTCCAGCATTTCAATTTAGAGAAGCATGCCACAGATTTGGAAGTAACCAAAAGTCAGCCTACAGAGGACAGAGTTCCTCCATAGGTTCTCTCTTCTTGCCCTGGAGATGTTCACCTGCTCTGTAGACTGCTGCCATCTCGTCGAGCTATCTCTAGGAGCAAGGGGACAATCACCCAACACGCTCCTAATGGCTCCATTTTTATACACCCTTAGGGTAGATTTTTAATACTAGTATTTCATTCTGTCATCTCACTTCCCATCCTTCCTTAACATGTTTTTGATGACCACTACGCATTCACAGTCCTGCTGCTTAAGCTGCACCAGCAAGCTGCTGGTTCAGTCATTTTGCTGTCTGTCTTATACACTGGCTTTCAGCATACACCAATCCCTCGAGCAATATTTCAGAGAGCACGAGGACTTCCCAGTAGGGTAACTGTCTGACTTAACAGTTGTCAGCCTACAATTGTCATCAACTGTACCTACTAACGGTCAGAGCTTAATGAGAGCTCTCTGAGCCTTACAGCACAAAAACATCAAGTCAGCTGACTGATTGTTTTAACAATCTTGCTTCTTCAGGTAAATATTTGCCATCGGGTTATTAAAGTACATAGGATGTGTCAGATCTTTAACAGTCACGCTACCTGCTGACATTAAGACCCTGACAAGCCAACTGGACAGGTAAGAGCCATGAGAACAGTGCAACAGCAACAGCTGTAGGTCACAGACAGACTCTTTTTACTGATTTCCTCTACAACGCTTTGTAGTACCTGTCAGGTTTTCAATAACAGCAGATACCCATGCAATGGAAACCTCTGTGACATTCTGCCTCACGTGTCTATCCTGAATTCTCAGGAGAAAAAAAAAAAAAGATCTGTCTCCAGAATAAAGTGGTGGGTTGGCACAATCACGTAAGGTTCTGCAGGTTATGCTGAGGGAAAAAAAGCCATGCATACTGTACTTTGCTAGACCAGGCTCTAAGACCCCTGACTAACTTCTCAGCCTCTCCTGAGCATGACAGCAGCAAAGATCTATGAAGAACACACAGAGAAAACGAAGTAAACGTCAGGGGGAATACACCCGAGGCATCACTGCAGCCTCCTGCACCGCGCAGCGATGTCACCCAGCGCTTCAGGGTCCCGATGCTCTCCCGAGCGGCCTGACGGCACCGGCCACACCCCGCGGGCTGAG